GCAGTAAAGAATCTCTCCAATTTTTATTTTTTAATTTGGATGTAGACATTTGTCTACAATGTTCCAAAACCTCCAACATTACGGTTTTAACCAATCTGCTAGGGGGCCTATATCTGGTTTAAATTATTTTTGATCAAATTGCTGTTGATCATCGAATGAAAGATTAAATACAGTTATCTCTGTCCTGAACATATTAATAAATTCACTTTCAAAATTTTCTCATGAACCTCTATCAGCATTGTCAAATATACAATTAGATGCTATATTGCTGATACTCCAATTATTTTATATATTAAAATACTTCTCAGTTCTTAAAAATTTGCCAGCTATAATCTAAAGCTTCAACTTAATGCTTTATATTTTTCTTTATATCTTGTTTCATTATGTAAGACATTAAATAATCTAACCAACGTCATATACTGACGTCATATACTGGTTGTGATCATTAGTTTAAATACTTGCGTAACAAATTCTTCTAAATTCTCTATATCACTGAAGTTAACAAATTCTTCTAAATTCTCTATATCACTAAAGTTAACAAATTCTTCTAAATTCTCTATATCACTAAAGTTAAGAAATTCTTCTAAATTCTCTATATCACTAAAGTTAACAAATTCTTCTGAATTCTCTATATCACTAAAGTTAACAAATTATTCTAAACTCTCTATATCACTGAAGTTAACAAATTCTTCTCTCAAATTCTCTATATCACTGAAGTTAACAAATTCTTCTCTCGAATTCTCTATATCACTGAAATTAACAAATTCTTCTCTCAAATTCTCTATATCACTGAAGTTAATAAATTCTTCTAAATTCTCTATATCACTGAAGTTAACAAATTCTTCTAAAGTCTCTATATCACTGAAGTTAACAAACTCTTCTCTCAAATTCTCTTTATCACTAAAGTTAACAAATTCTTTTAAATTCTCTATATCAATGAAGTTAACAAATTCTTCTCTCAAATTCTCTATATCACTGAAGTTAACAAATTCTTCTCTCGAATTCTCTATATCACTAAAGTTAACAAATTCTTCTCTCAAATTCTCTATATAACTGAAGTTAACAAATTCTTCTCTCAAATTCTCTATATCACTGAAGTTAACAAATTCTTCTCTCAAATTCTCTATATCACTGAAGTTAACAAATTTTTCTTAATTCTCTATATCACTAAAGTTAACAAATTCTTTTAAATTCTCCATATCACTGAAGTTAACAAATTCTTTTCTCAAATTCTCTATATCACTGAAGTTAACAAATTCTTCTGAATTCTCTATATCACTGAAATTAACAAATTCTTCTCTCGAATTCTCTATATCACTGAGGTTAACAAATTCTTCTAAGTTCTCTATATCACTGAAGTTAACAAATTCTTCTCTCAAATTCTCTATATCACTGAAGTTAACAAATTCTTCTCTCTAATTCTCTATATCACTGAAATTAACAAATTCTTCTCTCAAATTCTCTATATCACTGAAGTTAATAAATTCTTCTAAATTCTCTATATCACTGAAGTTAACAAATTCTTCTAAAGTCTCTATATCACTGAAGTTAACAAACTCTTCTCTCAAATTCTCTTTATCACTAAAGTTAACAAATTCTTTTAAATTCTCTATATCAATGAAGTTAACAAATTCTTCTCTCAAATTCTCTATATCACTGAAGTTAACAAATTCTTCTCTCGAATTCTCTATATCACTAAAGTTAACAAATTCTTCTCTCAAATTCTCTATATAACTGAAGTTAACAAATTCTTCTCTCAAATTCTCTATATCACTGAAGTTAACAAATTCTTCTCTCAAATTCTCTATATCACTGAAGTTAACAAATTTTTCTTAATTCTCTATATCACTAAAGTTAACAAATTCTTTTAAATTCTCCATATCACTGAAGTTAACAAATTCTTTTCTCAAATTCTCTATATCACTGAAGTTAACAAATTCTTCTGAATTCTCTATATCACTGAAGTTAACAAATTCTTCTCTCAAATTCTCTATATCACTGAAGTTAATAAATTCTTCTAAATTCTCTATATCACTGAAGTTAACAAATTCTTCTAAATTCTCTATATCACTGAAGTTAACAAACTCTTCTCTCAAAATCTCTATATCACTGAAGTTACAAATTCTTCTAAACACTCTATATCACTGAAGTTAACAAATTCTTCTCCCGAATTCTCTATATCACTGAGGTTAACATATTCTTCTAAATTCTCTATATCACTGAAGTTAACAAATTCTTCTCTCGAATTCTCTATATCACTGAGGTTAACAAATTCTTCTAAATTCTCTATATCACTGAAGTTAACAAATTCTTCTCTCAAAATCTCTATATCACTGAAGTAAACAAATTCTTCTAAATTCTCTATATCACTAAAGTTAACAAATTCTTCTGAATTCTCTATATCACTTAAGTTAACAAATTCTTCTAAATTCTCTATATCACTGAAGTTAACAAATTCTTCTATATTTTCTATATCACTGAAATTAATAAATTCTTCTCTCAAATTCTCTATATCACTGAAGTTAACAAATTCTTTTAAATTCTCTATATCACTGAAGTTTACAAATTCTTCTAAATTCTCTATATCATTGAAGTTAACAAATTCTTCTCTCAAATTCTTTATATCACTGAGGTTAACCAATTTTTTTCTCAAATTCTCTATATCACTGAAGTTAACAAATTCTTCTCTCTAATTCTCTATATCACTGAAATTAACAAATTCTTCTCTCAAATTCTCTATATCACTGAAGTTAATAAATTCTTCTAAATTCTCTATATCACTTAAGTTAACAAATTCTTCTGAATTCTCTATATCACTTAAGTTAACAAATTCTTCTCTCGAATTCTCTATATCACTGAAGTTAACAAATTCTTCTAAATTTTCTATATCACTGAAATTAACAAATTCTTCTCTCAAATTCACTATATCACTGAAGTTAACAAATTCTTCTCTCAAATTCTCTATATCACTGAAATTAACAAATTCTCTTAAATTCTCTATATCACTGAAGTTAACAAATTCTTCTCTCGAACTCTCTTCATCACTGAAGTTAACAAATTCTTTTAAATTCTTTATATCACTTAAGTTAACAAATTCTTCTCTCGAATTCTCTATATCACTGAAGTTAACAAATTCTTCTAAATTTTCTATATCACTGAAATTAACAAATTCTTCTCTCAAATTCACTATATCACTGAAGTTAACAAATTCTTCTATCAAATTCTCTATATCACTGAAATTAACAAATTCTTTTAAATTCTTTATATCACTGAAGTTAACAAATTCTTCTCTCGAATTCTCTATATCACTGAAGTTAACAAATTCTTCTAAATTTTCTATATCACTGAAATTAACAAATTCTTCTCTCAAATTCACTATATCACTGAAGTTAACAAATTCTTCTCTCGAATTCTCTTTATCACTGAAGTTAACAAATTCTTTTAAATTCTTTATATCACTGAAGTTAACAAATTCTTTTAAATTCTCTATATCACTGAAGTTAACAAGTTCATTTAAATTCTCTATATCACTAAAGTTAACAAATTTTTCTAAATTCTCTATATCACTGAAGTTAACAAATTCTTCTCTCAAATTCTCTATATCACTGAAGTTAACAAATTCTTCTCTCAAATTCTCTATATCACTGAAGTTAACAAATTCTTCTCTCAAATTCTCTATATCACTGAAGTTAACAAATTTTTCTTAATTCTCTATATCACTAAAGTTAACAAATTCTTTTAAATTCTCCATATCACTGAAGTTAACAAATTCTTTTCTCAAATTCTCTATATCACTGAAGTTAACAAATTCTTCTTTCAAGTTCTCTATATCACTGAAGTTAACAAATTCTTCTAAATTCTCTATATTACTGAAGTTAACAAATTCTTCTCTCAAATTCTCTATATCACTGAAGTTAATAAATTCTTTTCTCAAATTCTCTTTATCACTGAAGTTAACAATTTCTTCTAAATTCTCTATATCACTGAAGCTAACAAATTCTTTTAAATTCTCTATATCACTGAAGTTAACAAATTCTTCTAAATTCTCTATATCACTGAAGTTAACAAATTCTTTTAAATTCTCTATATCACTGAAGTTAACTTATTCTTCTATATTCTCTATATGTTTGTAAAAACCTTTTTTGATACTTCCGATACAGCAGGATATTTGATATGAATTCTTGGTTTCAGCTTATGTTAATAAAGCAAATAGTATTTAAATATTACATATAAACATTAAAACAAAATACTAAATAACGATATAATAAGTCGTTATTACAATATCAGTTTATGTCGTGACTGAAAACTAGGCACATTATTTTTTAGTGATTTTCAGACCAGATAAATAAATGATACGTTAAGAAAAAACTCTGTACACTGTTATGAGTTTGTTATACAGCATATATATTACGTAAAAATAGACAAATACTTTAAATGAGTTTTTGAAAAAATATATTGTTGATAAAGCCAACTTTATAAAAACTTTTAATAAAAGTTGCAAAAAAATTTTAAATTTTAAAATTACATACTTGGTGTCGTTAAAGCGATTTATAAATTATTAGAGTTCTTTTATTTGGAATCAGCATGATTTTGTCAACGTATTATGTCTAAACAAGAACTTTAGTTGCTATAATTTTTTGCTTCAAGTTTTTATGTTTAAAGAAATTTTTCTCTTTTTATTTATATGATTTTCAAAACTTTTTTATTACCCTTAATTGTGAATCTAAAGAACACCATTTTGAGTCTTTAGATCAATTCTGATCTACAGCGTTAACTTAATTTTAATTAAAATTTTTAGAAAAAGATCCTTTTTCATTTATAGATCTTGGCTCTATCCTGTTCTAGTACAATATTTGAATATTATTGTCAAAACCCAACGTTTCTATCAGTTTTCACAAGAAATATTAGAATTTTGCCCAAGAAAGAACTTATAATTAAAAAAAAAAATGCCAATAAAAGGTCAGAACAAATCATATTACTAAACTATGATGTTCCTTTCACCTAAACAACGTCTTTATTTAAAATCTTATTCAATTTTGGACAAGCAATCAAGATTTTAAGATGATTTTTTTTTTTTTAAATCTGGGTTTTTTCGATACAAATATTTCAATTTTATGCTGCGGCATTTTAGTCTTTTTCGTCTGTTTATAATTTAGAGATAATAATTTTGATCATTTAACGGAAATATGTCGTTGTCAGCATAATACCATACAGACGCTATAATTTTTATGATCGCTCAGTACTAAAACGCTAATGACGTATGCAGTTTCGTTGCATACTATGTCAAGTGTACAATATACACGCCCCATTGGTCACTTGAGCGTAAAATTTTAGATTTATAACTTAATTCGCGCAATTCTGATTTTATTTAAAAAAAATAATTTTTAAACAAGGTTTAAACTTTTTTTCGAATTCATTATTTAGTTTAAAAAAGTTATTTAGTTATTTAAAAAAGTTTTAGTTTTTTGGAAGTTTTGGTTTATTGCCACAAATCATTTATGTTAATAAACAAATTTTTTAGAAAGCTCAGGTTATCCAGTTTTGTAAACTTGAAATAAATTGTATATTACAGTTAGTAATTTATCTGAATTAAAATTAATAAAACAGTAACATCTATTGTAGACGCAATTTGCTGATAACCTTATAGCCAACAACGTGGTTTTTTTAAAAACATTTTTTTTCAAATTTTGGCAAAGCATCAAACGATAAAAAAATGCTAATATAAAAACTTTGGCAACAAGGTTTGAAACTTCTTTCAAAGTTTTCAATGAACAATTTATTTAAAAAAATACTTATTTTAAAAAATCAAACTCGATGATGTAAGTTAATTTAAACGTTATTATAGATCGTTATTTTAATGACGCAAAATATTTTGTTACAGTTATTAAAGTTTGTTTTAACTTAAATTGTACGTGCGGTACATAAAACTTAAATCTCAGATTTAGTTAATAGAGCGGAAAACAGTTTTTTCCATTACAATCTACATAATAAAAATTTATTTAGCAATGTCAAAATCAAATTTGGAAATACTTGAAATTATTATTTTAGTTATCATAGCAATCTTTGGAATTTCAGGAAATTTACTGATTATTTTTTTATTTGCATTTGGCGGGAGCGCTGTTAAAGTATTCAGAAACTACTTCATTGTGAGTTTAACTTTTGCTGACCTTATGATTGCAGGAATATTAGTGCCATTTTGGACTGTAGGTCGAATGAGTAAGTTTTTCTCAGTGTTGAATAAAAAATGTCAAAATGTATATCATTATTTGTTACGAAATTCAAAGTTTATCCTGTTTTTATTTACATTTGTAATTTTTATATAAACTGTTAAGATACGTTTTAGCTAGGGCCGTTTCTAGGTGAGGTTTGGTGTCCATGGCAGGAATTCATTTTCAAGCCCCTAGAAAAACAATTTTTTTGTACTTGAGTATTCCAAAACTCCAAAAAAGAGAATTCCAAAAAAGTACCTTTCAACGACTCCAATGAAGATTAAGGGTTCCATTAACGACTCCAATGAACTTAAAGCCTTGATAATTAGTTAGCATGGTTACCAGTAAAAGAATTTAGGTGATTTTAAAATTTATGTTTTTTTTATTTTGTCTAAACAGCGAAATTCTCAACTTACTTTTTTCACGGCCTACTTTGTGAACGGCCGAATATGACTATTTCATCCCATGTTTTTTTTATGGCGTTTTCAAACAAAAATCAATAAAATGTACATAAAATCAAACTATTTCTTAAGTTCTTAAACAAACGTACCCTATCATACATTACTTCTAGATCCATTGATATTTCATGTGATGAAAAACATGAGTTACTATGGAGATCTATTTTATTTAATAGTTGAAAATTGCTTAAAGTCATTTCTCACCTTTGATCGGATGTCTTACAATTTAGTTTTTATAAAAATTAAGGAAAATCATTAATTCAGAATAGTCGAGCTCTAGGATTTTCATAAAATTTTCTGGGGTATCTTAAAATAATTTTATTAGAAAAAACTGAAACGTTGAGACCACAATTTAAAGCACTTTAAAAGTTATTGCTGTTTTAAGTTTTATAAAATGTCAAATTTTTATCATTAAAAAGTCATTCTTCAAAGTTTTCAATGTTTTTTTTTGTATTTTTTATATACTTAACCTTTTAAAAGTTGTTACAATAAGCAGATAAATTTTACAATTTTTCTCATTAGTAACAACAGACCTCTAGAAAATCATGTCTTTTGAAGTTCTTTGTCTGTAATAAAATGTCTGTAGTAAAGTGAATAAAACACTATTATGTATAAAATTTAAAAAATTCTAAAAAATGTTGTTAAACGAAACAATATACAAAAAATGATTAAAAGTAAAGGAAGATATGTTAAACGAAGATTAAGTCAGTTTAGTAGAAAAGCCAAAGTTTGATAACACTATTTCATTCCAAAGATAAAGACATCGTAAGAAACAAAAAACCTTTTTACGAGGTCTTTTTTTGAACATTCAAAACGCCATTGATACATAAAAAAAAAAAAAAAAAAAAAAGCCGCAATTTTTTAATTAGCGAATTTTAAACAATATGTTGATAGTTAAATACCGTAGTTTACTTGCTAAAACATTACCATAAATCTATAAGTAATCGAATTGCTGCCTAAAGAGTTGTAAATTTTAGGCTTAAATTTTGCGGCTTTTTTGTTCCCAGGCTCTAAACATCGCAATTTTTTGCAAAACATCCTTATTTGACATAAGTATAAACATATAAATGTTTGGAGTTTGCTCAATGTCTGGAAATTAGATATCTCGAAGACCAAAAAATGCGCCATCCCTGGTTAAATTATTTGGTAAAATATTTGTTAAAACATTTGGTAAAATATTTGGTAAAATATTAAGCTTAAACTGAGAAAATTTAATACATTTTGTGCCATGCAATTTTTCATAGTGAAGGGCATAAAAATAGTTAATAATACTTTAGAGCATAGCAAAAAACTCTAAGCAGCTATTCAACTAAACTTTTGGTATAATTTACAAATACGTCTTTTAATACTTTTAAGAAAGTAACCTAAAGAATAGATTAATGTTTTTTGTTGTTATTGTTGTTTTTTATATGTGACTTTATTGTTTTGATATGTGACTATATTTCTTCTTTTGTGAAAAAAGTAGTTTAAAATAGTAAAGAATAAAAGGGCATTAACAACTTTTTTTTAATGCCATTTATTTTTTAATTCTTATCTTATTTTAACAGTTACAACATCCTTTCTTCCCATTCAAACAAGCAAAAAAAGTCATTAACTATACTTTGTTTTGTCTGAAAATATCTTAGATGGTTAGCCGTCTGCCACAATTTTTTATGGATCCGTGTGGCCCCAATTTCAGACTATTATTTCAGCCTCTAAATTAGCCAAGAAAATTTAAAATGCGTTCATGCTTAAGTTATTCTGATTTTGAAAACAATTGGATAAATCTTTTATGGTCTAATTATTCTAAACCATTTGTTAATTATTTCTTTATATTTATTTATTTATGAAATTATATTTATTAGTTTATTGTAGTTGTTCAACTTCCAAGGTTACTTTAATTTTTTAAAACTCCCAAGAGTAAAAAATAGTTAAACGAACTCTGATTCTTTGTGTGTGTATGTAACCATGGAAACTGTTAAATCAATTGAAATTAATTAGATCAAAAAAATAAGTCAAAATTTTTTTTTTTATCATATTTATGTAGGTTGTTAGGGTTTATTGCGAAAATAGTTTTAGTAAACCAGAGGGAAGCAAGGCAACCTAACTCTTACTTTCTATTTGACTAATAATTTTAACTTTGCAATACAATTCAAAATGTTGTTCGTGCCTTATAGCCATAAAGCGCTAGATATTGCTAGTATCAAATGCAAATTCTGATTTTTGGTACTTTATGAGACCCACATTTTACGAACACTTTATATAAATCTTAGCCCTAAAATCAAATGATTGGGGTGAAATATAAAATATATTAGACACGATACTGATAGCATAAAAATAAAACTGTAAATGAAATATTATTTATTAAAAACTTTTTCTGAAAAACAGTTTTTTCAAAATGCGTTTTGTAATGCCGTTATTTATTTTTAGACCTTTATTCTATTTCTGAAAACGTATGGAGCATCTTTGCAGCTTACGATATACTTTGTGGTTCTGCATCAATACTTAATTTAACAGCTATAAGTTTAGAACGGTTGTATGCTATCAAATATCCTTTACTTCACTTAACCTTGACCCAACTTTCTTACAGATTGGCAATTGCTGTAACATGGTTTATTGGATTTATGTTATCAGGCGCTAAAATAATAGTTGCTTTTGGTTATAAAAGTAGAATAAAGCAGTTCATGTTGTCCATATTTATTTTGGCATATACGGTTCCAATATTAGTTATTGTGATGTCTTATTCTGTCATTTTTTATTACGCCACTTCTCGAGCAACTGACTACTGTCGTGTTAATAGATTTAAACGTGAGCTAAAAGCGGCAAAAACAATAGCAATAATAGTTGGCCTCTTTATTCTCTGTTGGACACCTTTTTTTGTACTTAATATGATACATGACTATTGTAAAAATTGCGACTTAGGAAAGAGCTTTATTGGTTGGATTTATGCATCAAAAGTATTGCACTATAGCAACAGCATGATGAACTTTTTTGTCTATGGATACAGAAGCCCAGATTTCCGTCGGTTATTTCGTGATCTTCTTATTAAAAAACTTAAACTGAATCGATAAATGTGTTATCTTGTTTTAAAGGTAATTAAAATTGCATTGTATAAAATATTGTTGAAAGTTTATGTTGTTATGAATCAACGCAAGAGTAATTTCAACCAATACTGAAATTTAAAAAATTCGGAGTTACTTTTCGTTTGTAGCATATTTGTAAACTATAAGTGTAAAATGTATTATATATGTAAATGTATTATATAACTGTAAAAATATAAGTGTAAAATGTAATATATATGTAAATGTATTATAAACATTTTATAATATTGTATCATAACTTTGCAAAATTTTAATTATAGATAAAGAATATAGGGGTTTGAAGTCGGGTTTGTTGATGTTTGATATGATGATGTTTGAGCTAACATAGAACTTCAAAACTTATATATTTATACTCATGTCAAATAACCATATTTTTTTCAAAAATTGCATTGATTAGAGTCTGAGAACAAAAAAGTCCTAAAAAATTGATCATAACAGCCTTAAACAAGAGAGCAACTAGTTGTACAATTTTTTTTTTACTTTTCTTAACTTAATTTTTATATATTGATAAATTTTAAATTTCATACAATAATCTCTTAGCTTTCAAAAGTTATGACCTTATGAAGTATGTAAATTTTGGTTGAAATATTGTACCATAAAATTCATGAAATATTGTACTATAAAATTTATCGATAAATATAAATTTAGTGAAGAATAATAAAAAATCTCGTGTGTGTATGCTCTCACCTATGTGGCAGTTGTGGTCAAAATTTTAGGACTCTTTTGTTCCCAGGCTCCAATCATCGCAAGTTTTGGCAAAGTATACTTATTTGACATAAGTATAATCATAAGTTAACTAGAAAAATTATACATAAAATTCAAAGCAAAATTGGCAAGTTTTAATGGAAATTATAGGCAGTAAGAACCCAAAAGCTCTTTACCTAAATCTATTAAAAGTGATGATAAATTATACGATCCAAGATTGGTAGCTAATGAAATGAAATCTTCGCTTCAGATAAACCATATTTAGCTAAAAAAAATCAAAAACAAAAAAATAAGACGATTTTTATTGTTATTGAATTACATGATATCATAAAAAAATATTCTTTTTAAAGTATTTAAATGTTTAATTCAACAAGGAATTTTTCCTGTTAGTAATACTTAAAGGAGGAGAGCTACATAATGTTTGTAATACTTAAAAGAGGGTAGCTACTTAATGTTAGTAATTACCGTTCAATATCTGTTCTCTCTGTTTTCTATGGAGAGAAATCAAATAAAAATTTTTAAACATCTTTCTCAAAATAATATACTATATAAAAACCAATAATTAAAAAAACATATAACTCCACTGAATACGCTATGCTCTAAATAATATAATATGCAACAGAATCATTTAAAAAATTCTATTTTTCAATTTAAAAAAGTTTATTTTAGCATTTTTGTTGATTTGTTTAAAGCTTTTGAAATAATAGATCATAAAATTCTATTCAAAAAATTAAACAGTTTGAAATTTCCGGCAAGAACCTGAAGCTTTTAAAAAGTTATTTATTTACTCGTTTTATAAATGATGTGCAAATTAAAAAAGTAACAGTTACTAACTTTTTGGGCGTTTTTATTGATGAAAATCTGACATGAAAAAGACACATCGAAAACTTGTCCTCCAAAATAAAAACAGATTGGAGCACCTTGTTCAATGTATTGGCAATCAAAAATCTATCGGTACAGAGTTAGAGAGCGCAATGTGTTGATATGATTATTGACAGTACATTTGCTATTAATATAGGCAAATATACACAGGATAGAGAGCGCAATGTGTTGATATGATTATTGACAGTACATTTGCTATTAATATAGGCAAAGAGTCTTTTTGGATTGTTCTTATCTTTAGATAGGTTTTCTTCGAATGAACGAATTTCAGCTCTAGTCTCTTTTCTTACAAGATTTCGAGTGAACTTGTATTCATTAGCCAACGAGATAATGAATACAAGTTCACTCGCTGTTACGGTTGAGAAACCAGAGTTCTTTCTTTCGTTTAATTAGTAATAAAAGTTCATTTGTTACCCAGATTGGTCGTCGTTTATTTTGTTTTAAATGGATGAATGGAATGAGTTTTTTGCAACATTTTTTGTAGATATTGCAGAAAATTTGGTACGTTACATTGGCGTCTAAGTTTTTAAATAGATTTTCCCATCTCTGTTTGGACAGGTAATTGTTAAATTGAACATAATTTCCTTTATTATAAATAAATTTTGAACTAGTAAAACGGTTAAAGTTGGTGTAGTCATCAGCTAATTGATAATGCCAGGATAGATTACAGTGACCTTGTGAACTATTTCCTAATAACGGACCAACAACAATTTCACTTGTAAGATTGGCCGATTTGCTGATTATTAGATCAAGAATATTTTTTGAAAACCCATTGGATTGAATAAAGGTTGGTTTAGTGATTAGTTGATGCAGGTATAGACTGTTGATAATGTTAACAAATTTTTTATCTAAACTGTTTTCAGTGTTTGAGGTGTATTTTCACCCTTTTTTCCATTTGATGGTCAGGAAGTTGAAATCACCGGTAATTATAAGGTCTGCAAAAAAGATTTGGCATAAGAAATAGTGTTAACTATTTCATTAAAAGATTTTACACTAGTTGGTGGGCGATAGATACAACCGATAAAAAGAGTTTTGTGATTCAAAATGAGTTTAAGCCAGAGTTGTTCTAATGTTTTACAGCAAATCTTTGAGAATTTTCAATTTCGCTTGCAGTGAAGCATAAGCTGCAGTTAACATAAATTGCAATACCACCACCATGAGTAGATCGGTCTTTTCTGAATATATTATAACCCAGAAGAGATGGAGTCAAAAAATTGTTAAACCAGGTCTCTAGGATAAAAATAAATTCATATTTATAGTTAGAGACAGCTATTGAAAGTTCCAGAAGTTTGTTTTGATTTAAAGATGTAGCATTGGTATAGAAACACATAAAAAATTTATTAGATGATGATTTTGGGTTTAACACTTGGTGCGTATCTGATACTTTGTTAGATTTATAGTTGACTGCTTTATTGACTGGTAATTGATGTTGATTATAATAGGTCAATGGTTTTAACCTTTCTTGCATCTGCTGCCTTTTTTTTGTCCACGAAGGGATGTTTAATTTAGATCAAAATTTTAATACACATCTTTAAACATAAAAGTCAGCCAAAAAAAAGTTTCACGTTGTTCCAGGTTAAAATTTAGTGAAACTAATCCACTAAACTAGAGCCAAATAAACCAAGTAGTATTTGCTGCAACCTCCTGCTCCTTAAAGAGATATTTTAAATAGATTTATGCATAGTTTTATCAAATGTAACACCCACCCCACCCTTTTCAATTTAAAAACAATTTTTGGACGTTTGAGTAGTAATATACATTCTTGTATTTACTTTTTGTTTTGAAAATTAAAGAATCTTATTACTCGGTGTAGTTAAGGGCGACTTACAAATTATTCGAATTCTTTTATTTGAAATTAGCATGGTTTTATCAGCTAATTATGCCCAAACAAGAGCTTTAGATGGTATGATTTTTTTTTGTTTTGTTATATTTTAATATTTAAGAAACTTTTCTTTTTTTTAGGTAGTCTTCAAAACCTTTTTACCCCTAATAATGAACCTAAAGAACACCATTTCGGAGTCTTTTGATTACTTTGAGCATAGGCGTAAATTAGTTAAAATCTTTTGAAAAAATTTACTTATTTATTATTTACTTAATTTAGTATAGATTCTAGTTCTAGTTAGCTCTGACGTATATTAACTATATATAGTTGTCAAAACACAATATTTCTATTAATTTTCACAAAAAATACTAGAATTCCGACCAAGAAAAAGCTTATAATTAAGAAAAATTGCCAATAAACTATCAGAATAGATCATATCATTAAACTGTGATGTTCATTTTACCTAAAAAACTTATTTAAATTTGGACAAGCAATTGTGATTTAAAGAAGTGATTTAAAAAAATAATAATAATAATCTTTGGGCTGGGTTTTTCCGTTATAAACATTTATACTTTATGATACCGCAAAATTCATAATTTTAATTTTTTTTTGTCTTATCATAATTCACAGACCTGATCATTTAACAAAAATATGTCTTAGTCAACAAAATATCATACAGACGCTGTAATATTTCAAAATTGCCTTAACTACACCGAGTACATCTATTATCACAATAATATTTGGTAATAAAGAAATTAAGCTTTAAAAATGAAATGAAAAAGTTGGATCTATTTTTAAAAAATCGCAAGCAAATAACGAGTTATTATTTTCATACTTTAATTATTTTGGTACTTAAAAAGCCTCTCATTGTTTCTACAAAACATTTTAAGCTTATTTTTCACTTTTGAAATGAAAATCTGTACAACTCTATTTAACTCAGCTAATTTTAGTCAGCAACTTTAAGAATTACTTTGGAAGTTTCGATAAATTCTATAAGAACCTTTTCTTTAAATACTTATCGAATTTATCCTCAGGAGATAAAAGAGATATTATATGGAGTGATATTTGTGATAGAAGTAAAAGAGCAAAGATTAGAGATGTAGCTAATCAAGGCCTTCTTAAACAGGCCACGACAGCTCATTTTCCGTAAAATTAGCGAAGGCTGACTTTTTTACGGTTAAAATTATTTTTTTATTTGTGCTTTTGTAAACAAACTTCAGAAACAAATAAAGAGCTTTATTACGACAAAACATTTTGATTGAATTTCGAAAGCAAATATTGTAGGAATTTTTTTAACGTTTAGAAATAAGTTAATTACAATAAAAATTTAAGGAGTTTAGCTAAAAATGACTAAATCTCGTTTTTATAACTATATGTTTATTTTAGCTGTTTAACACTTGTAATACAAATAATAAATTTTTTGATAAGAACAAACAAATATATTAACTTTATTTTATTAAAATTATTTTGACTTTTTTGACTCAAAGTATTTTATTTTGAAGTTGAAAGTTTTGCTTGTTTTATTAAACATTCCTTCCCAAAATCTTCAGAGTGTTTTTTACAATAATTGTTTAAAAAAATGTTTGCCAAAATGCAGCAAACTTTTTTAACACTTTGAACAAGATATTGCAGTTAATAAAAATGTCAATTAATCCTTTCTTGAACAGCGATGGTGAAACTTTATTCACAAGTGTCACTTCAAATATAAAAAAACAATAAAAAACAAAGTAGACT